TGTGTGTGTGTGTGTGTGTGTGTGTGTGTGTGTGTGTGTGTGTGTGTGTGTGTGTGTAATAAGAAACAAAAGAGAAAGGAATTGAGGAGTAGTAAAGATAGTAGAAATTTTCAGCATTTTCACCATTCTCTACCCAATTTCTCTACCTAAATATATAGAAATTATAGATGAATTTACTGACATGCTTTTTTCCATTCCCTTTCTGTGTTTCTATCATATATAAAACTTGCTTCAAAGTGCAAAGTGAGAAAACCCAAAGTAGGATTTTACTAAATTAGTATTAAAGACTCAAATAGTTAAATACAGATTTAAAGTAAAAGTTAAATCTCCCTTCCTTCCCCAAAGCATTGACAAAAATGGTTTGTCAATAGTTTTTTCCTCACAATGTTTTGATGTTTTGACTTGGTAATCTAATTTATAGCCCTGGGATTTCCTGCTAGATTCCAATTCAAGTATAATTTAGGTCTGCATCCATTTAGATTTTCCAGATCAATCAAGGTCAGCTGGATACTGCAACTGGTTGTGACCAGGCTTAGAAAATAACTAATAAAATCAATGAGGCTTAAATTAGACAGGATTCACTTGATGTTAGTGCTATTTCACCAGGATTAATCCCATATCCAACTGAATATACCTGCTTTTAAGTAAAGTAATTTTAATTAAGACACACATGGAAATTCAAAGCACTTTTTAATTCATAAATGCATTTTTAAAGGAGAAAATCTATGAACAGAACTGTCACAATGAGGAGAGATATAATTCTGAGAAACTGTATTCTCAAACCGTGAACAACTTTTTTGCCTCATTTTCTGAAAAGGGGGAGTTAAGGAATAAAAGAAATACTTCAAACCTTTTACGCTTACAGACACTTTTTCAAACTGAAAGCAATAACTAACCCTTGAGCAGTATGCCAAAAGCTACATTCCAAAAGATAGGCAGGACACAGATATTAACTAAATTTGATAGAATCTAATATAAATTGTAAATTAAATTTGATTAAATAAAATTTAATATTATTTTCTTTGCATTTTCCACTTCTGTCACAGTATAAAGTACACAGTTGAAGGGCCACATCAAAACCTTTTAGAAGCGGGACTTCCGGGGAGTGGCCTGTCGCCGTCGGCAGCTTAACAGAGCTGNAGAAAATTTTACTACTAACAGAGATACAAAAGTGGGTGGTAGGTATAAGAAGGTTGACTACCCCTGGCCTATATTATCAGAAAGCCATAAAATACAACTTTCTTAACTTTTAAACATTTTTTTCTGAACTTATTAAAAGGATCAGTGATTATTAATTATAAAGCTAAATGAAGCCTCCATTGTCAGAAGTATTATACTTCTGAATTAAACATGTTGGGGTGAACAGGGCAGGACCCTCATTCTGTGTAGTGAACTTGAAATTTAAAAAGTGCTTTAAGACTGCTTTCTTTATTCCCAAATAGCATCGATATGAAAAAGAAAATACTGAAATAAGGTAAATTTGAGAGAAATTGTTTTTTCTTAAAAATAAATACTACTGATTTCAATGGAAATAAATATGAGTGGGTTTATGACACTCTTAATAATATAATAAAACACTTACCCAACAATTGGATGTTTAAAACCAAGTTTTCTTGTAGCTTCTTCTATCTCTTTTTCTAACAAAGGCTGTGGACGAATTAAGTATTTGACAAACTGTGAGACCCACCATACTGGAGGGTCCCCATGGACGCGAATTAGTCTATCAGCCAGATCTTCTGGAATCGCCAGTGGCAAATATGGAGGTCGTGGATGTAGACTGTCAACTATGGGCAATTCTATAACTTGAACATTTTTGTCATTCATTTCACCTGGAAAAGATATGGTTATGATAAAATATTTCAGAAATAGGTGATTTTACCAATTTTATTAAAAATATAGAAAATACATTGTTTTTAAATATAATTTGTAGCTTTCTGACTGAGATTAAATATCCCTTTCAATGATTGTTTTGAATGTAGCTACTGCACAAATTCAAGAGTTACTAATGGACTAAACAGAATTTTTACATTAGGTATGTCCAACCCACAGTCCTGGACAGCTAGTAATGACCCCCACAAGATAGTAAAATTATTTAAAAATAAAGGAAGTTTGACTGCTATATACATATATATTTTATATGCATCCAAGACAATTCCTCTTCACGCAATATGGCCCAGGCAAGTCAAAAGGTTGGACAACCATACTTTAGATTCATTTGCAAGAAATATCATGGATTGATAAAAATGAATCGCCATAGTCACTAATTCACCTCTGCCCACTACAGGTAGTCCTAAACTTACCACTGGTTGTTTAATGACGATTTGGAATTACAACAGACTGGAAAGTGACTTATAACTCATTCTTAAAATTACAATACTAGCACCACCTCCATGGTCACATGATTATAGTTTGAGCACATAGCAAACAACTTGCATTTATGACCAGTGGCAACACCCTGTAGTCACCTGTTTGAGATCTGCAACCTATGCAGGTAGCTTATGACAAACAAAGTCAATGGGGGAACCCAGATTCATTAAAAACCATGTAATTTACTTAATGACCATGGTAAAAATAATCATAAAATCAGGTCTGGTCACATGATGATTTGCTTAATGACTGCACTGCTTAGCAATCAAAATTCCAGTCCCAATTGTGGTTGCAAATTGAGTACTAGTTGTATATAAAGTATTAAAATGCATAAAATATCTATAGAAAATATAGCTAGGAAAAAGCTGAAGCTTATAACAACACAACTTGAATTATGTTTCTTAAATTCTAGTATTTGTTGGTAAAACATTCATAACACATAACGGTATATGCTGTTATTTTTACATCAAACAGAGCATCATTTATTCTAGCTTTTGCAAATTTTGGTGCATAAACAAGCCTCATGATACTGGATACATTTCCAGAGGGGTGTGTGTGTGTGTGTGTGTGTGTGTGTGTGTGTGTGTGTGTGTGTGTGTGTGTGTAATAAGAAACAAAAGAGAAAGGAAT